GCAAGCATTGCTGTATTATTTATCATCTTTCACAATCACAACACGCTGAAATGGTGACAGCGCAGTTGTGGGACACAAAGCCTTTAATAATTAGGAAAAGAAATGAGACGGCCATTAAAACCAACCCAGGCTAAAATCCACTGTAAATAGATTTTAAATCGGATGCTTTTCTCCTTACAGAGCAGTCGCAGTGAGAAGCTATTTCCAATTAGAAAACATTTGATTTCTTTAAGATCTACATTACTAACCATCTAATGTAATAACTGAGTGAAATTTAAGGAGAATGGAGATTTGTTTTCCTCTGTCTTATTTCTACTCTAAAAACATATGCAATATTTGTCACATTTAATAGAATCTGGCAGATATATATATATATATATATATATATATATATATATATATATATATATACACATACACTATTCGGGTGTAAACATGCCTCTAATTTTCAGCTGGAAATAGACTTCAATTTGTAAACAAATTTTAATAAATTGATGTGTATTTAATATAAACCAACTCTCTGTGTGATACCACTCGCTGCAAACATTTATTGCATTATATTTTCACTCTTTGTTGTGCAACATGATTATTTTACAAGCAGGTTTCACATGTAGTTTTTCGTTTCCCTTTAAATTAAGGTCACCTTACAGATGGGATGATTGAAATCAAAGGTAGTTCTTAGTGGCAAAATGTGTCACATGTTGATTTTTTAGGAAACATTTAGAGATTAGATTTCTTTAAAGTCCTATTGCTCAGCCTAATTAATATTAAGACAATTAGCTACGAAAAATTGCTTCAGCTTTTTCATGAATATCAGTTTCTATGAAAACACAATTTAAGTTTCTGAAGTATAAAGCTCATGATATAAATTTTATCTCTGCTGAGCCTCTACAGACCAACATTTTTTCCAAACAAATTATTCTTGCTGACACTTTAACAAAACATTATTGATAATTTAAAATGCTGGAAAATGTGTCTTGTTTCCTACAATCTGACTTTGAAATAACAGAACCCCGATGGATTTAAGCTGCATGTCTCAGAAGCGAGACCAATCACATCCACTTCTAAGATATGGATAGAAAAATCTGAGCATTTTCCAAAAAAGCATAAAAATGAATTATTGCATTTCATTTATGAGCTTAGTGGAGGCATGAATGTCATCCTGGGCAAGAATTTCCTCTTAAATGACATCATTTTCAGAATAGGAAGGATCTCAGTTTTTAGATTTCAGAGAAAGGCTTTGCAATCATTGGAGAGTAATTGAGTCTAAATTTGACCAGTCCATCTGATAAAGTCTTCAAGGAGATAAATATGTTTAATAAATCTCAAACCTTGCTTGAACACTTTGACCTAAAAATGGTCAAATGAAGCACATCTTAATTCCTTATAAGAAACTATTAAAATGTGCAATAAATTTGAGATTCTGAGTATGATACTTATAAATGGTGTTCGGCATCATCAGTGCCACACGTTTTGCTCACAATAGAGAAATCACTATAGAAATCCTTGCCGTAAGAAGCTGAAATGGACCAATCAGGCTTTTCCTGACTCATTCCTATTTCTTGCCTTTGATTCCTCTTCATCTCCAAAGACCATAACTCAGAAAAAAAAAAAAGAAAATATGCTGCTTGGTCCTTAATAGGGGTTTATTATGTATCACAAACAAATTTCATTAAAAAAAGATTTTCATCATCTATACATCAAAGTGCATTTCTTTAATCATATGATTTTCAATAAACAACAAGAACAACAACAACAAAAAAACTTCAAAGTGTGTGAGTGTGTTTGATGGACGTTCAGAGTTTTACCAATCAGAAGCTAATTATTGAAAATGCATCAAACACAATGGCAGTTGCATTAGCCTCGATACTCTTCTTATCTGTGCATCATGTCGCTTCCAATTAAAGAACCCTAAAACACGAGGTGTCTGCCATTATATAATAAAAAGGCTTTTTTAATTGCTCTGTGATCTTCTCCCTCGGCTCATCGACTGACAGCTGCTGCTAAAAGACACAAAGGAAGCCCTGGCAACTAAGATCCAGAATGGGCTGAAAAACGGCAAATCATTTCACCACAGACACAGCTAATGCACAGAGCGAGTCCAACTCCTGGGCCCCAAATGCCAAGCTGTAATTCATTTGACATGTCTGTCTGGGTTGTGCATGATAATGTGCACTGCTACCTGCCAGGGCCCTATCTGCACAGAGGGGCCATTCATACGCATACAGGCCTTGTTTTGTCGACTAAAGACTCTTACAATGTAAACACGGCGATGTGTTTTAAAAAATATATGTGTTTGCAAACTACACCCCCCCACCCCTCTGCTGAATAAACTATGGATTAGCCCAAAAAGCATAAGGATCATTTGGTGGAGATGAAAATCCCCCTTTTTTTAATGATTGTCCTGCATTTCGTAATTTTCTGTAGGGTGGGTCCCTATGAAATCATTCCAAATGAAATCACTCTCTAGTAAGTGATGGAAAAGTGTAGAAGCTCTCATGTTACAACCATGACCTGCAATATGTTTTATTGGGAGTTTATGTATTCCACCATAGTGAATGGTTGTGAAATGAAAGCAAGATGATGCAGGCGATCTTAAAAGTGTGGAGTTCTTTTCTAAACGGCTTCTTTCAAGTCATTTTATAGAATCGCTTCCTTTTTTTTCCACAGCAGTTACTCTATATTTTCTTGACCAAATTCTTTTTAATGCTAGAGAAAAGTTTTCCCCTCAGCACAATGCTGCCACTGTCATGATTTACTGTGGGGAAGGTATGTTAAGGGTTAATATTTCTGTTTGGGTTTTTTCCCCATTATCCTCAGTTTGTCCAGAAAGTAGTTTTTTTTTCTTGCCACTATTGCATTACTTTATAAAAGTCTGGTACTTAATTATAATTGTCTATAAGCATTTTATTAAATTTAGGGGAGTGTTGGCCTAGCAGGTTAGAGCAGTTTGCTGGTGTTCTGAGAGGGCGGCAACAATCCGGTTTGATCCCTTCAGCCTCCACTCTGGCTTCCTGAGCAAAACCCTTACCCCCACATTGCTCCCTGGGTGCCACACAATGGCAGCTCACTGCTCCACAAATGGAATAGGTCAAATATAGAGAGAGAATTTCCCCATTGTGGGACAATAAAGGTGTTTACATTTTTACACATAACATTTATAAACTGTGCTTTTGATTTCCTGGAATACACTATGAATGATCTTATGTATGAGTGGAAATATATATATATATATATATATATATATATATATATATATATATGCATAAATAAAAACCTGCAGTCTATAGAAGGTGTCATGCTCTCAACAGATTCTTCCACCTGAGCTGTGGATATCTGCAGCTCCTTCAAAGTTCCAATATCGCCCTGAGCTGATTGATTAATGCTCATCTAGTCCTGTTAGTTTAGGTTTACAGCAGGCCTTGGAAGGCTTTGCGGTTGCGCTGTCTTTTCTTTTTCAGATTACAATGTCCCTTTGTCCTCCTATTACTAGCTTGATGAACCAATTCAACGCCTACTTTATTTAATTAGTCAGCAATTAATTCTCAGAGGAACTCGGAGTAGGGCAAAAGAAAAAAAAAAAACTTAACTGATTTGTAAATTTTCTTTCAGTATAATATGTGAAAAAAGTCAGAATTTTTTCTCAAAATTCTGACTGATTTCTGACTGCTAACAAAC